AGTCAGACGAAGGAAAGGCTGAAAACCTCTCTGAATACTTCTGTGACGTCTTCTCGTCTGATAGTACCACCCAGGGATATGGCGAGGTCACTGCCATCGCCACTCAGATGCCCTCAATTGTGGTAGAGCACACAAAGGTTCTCAAACTACTGTCTAAACTGAAGCCAGGTAAATCACCTGGGCCGGATGGACTTCACCCTAAGCTGTTACTTTCCTTGGCGGATATAATATATATTCCGCTTACGGAGATTTTCCAAATGTCTCTGACGCAGGCTAAGCTACCCAGGGACTGGAAGGATGCCATTATAAGCCCTATCTTCAAGGACGGGGATAGGCAATTGGTATCTAACTACAGGCCGGTAAGTCTGACATGCATTATTGCAAAGGTACTGGAAACTATTATAAGGGATCAACTATTAGCTTATGTTGAAACACATGGCTTGTTGGCTGTGGAACAGCATGGATTCCGACCAGGACGATCCTGCTTGACAAACCTACTATTGGCTAGGGAAGACTGGGTTGAGGCCAGAGATAGGGACCATCTGTTGGACGTGGTTTTTATTGATCTTAGCAAGGCGTTCGACAAAGTATCCCACTTAGGTCTCCTTAGTAAACTGAAAGGTTTCGGACTAGACCAATGCCTATGTGAGTGGTTTAGAGATTACTTAATGGATAGAAGGCAGAAGGTTAGAGTTAACGGTGTACTATCAGGATGGAAAGCAGTATCCAGTGGAGTGCCCCAGGGAACTGTATTAGGTCCATTGCTATTCCTATTATACGTTAACGAATTACCAGGGATTCTTTCTTCATCTTCATTATTATTTGCAGATGACATTAAGGTATGGAAAACTGTAAACAATAACGAGGATAGGTCGGCCCTACAAACTGATTTAGATAAATTAGCTGAGTGGTCAAGCCTATGGAGTTTGGAAATGAATGCTAGGAAAAGCGCGGTAATGCACTTAGGTCAGAAGTCTTATGCGTCGTACTCCCTAGGGGATGCAGAACTACCTGATGTTAACGAACAGAAGGACCTAGGAATCATTGTCAGCAATGATTTGAAAACAACTGCAAATTGCAATGCAGCCGCAGCTAAAGCTTTTCGAATGCTATGGGCAATTCGAAGGGCTTTCAAACGATTAGACGAGGGCATGTTCCAAATACTCTACGCAACATATGTCAGGCCTCATCTAGAATACTGCATACAAGCGACGAGTCCATGCTTCAAAAAGGAGGCACATATTCTGGAAAGAGTACAGAGAGTAGGAACAAAATTAGTTAGTGGTATCTCACACCTTCCTTATGATAAGAGGATGGAGCATTTAAATCTCTTCCCGTTATCATACCGAAGGAAGAGAGGCGACTTAATTTTAGCATACCGTATACTTAAGGGTGATTTAGGAACTGACCTTTCTAACCTTTTCTCCCCTTCTAGGATACATTTACGGGGTCACCGCAAAAAGGTGCTCAAACCAAGGACGATTAAAATACGTGCAGAATTTAGATTCTCTCACAGAGTGGTCAACGATTGGAACTCCTTACCTGATTCAGTAGTATCAGCTCCATCGGTGAACGCTTTCAAAGAGAAGTTAGATCTCTGCAGAGATATACTTTGCAAGGATTAACACAGGCCACAAGAGCCTTCTATCCTTATCATCTGAATCTGAATCTGAGCCTTCGCATAAATGTAGCTCATTGTGTTGTACATAAAAATTCTGTTTTGGACATCTGACTAAATTATCACATGGTAATGGATTCAATTTGTAGAAGTGCTTCCATAAGCTGCTTATTGAGTATTACATTATCCATTATATAAGTGGGACAATAAATTCATTGAGTAGGTGTCCTGTATCTGTATACTGCAGAGGTTCATCACCGCGTTATTTATTGCTTATGATGTATTGCTTATAGTTGCTGAAACTGTCATCGTAACGCATATTCTCTAGACATTTAGTGGGTTCAACAGTAATACAATAATGTCTGCATGATGATAAGTTAATGATTGCGTGAAATATTTTCCTATTATTTCTTTATGATTTGGTTAGTATTAACAATAATGAGATGCACTAAGCAAAATAATGTTACAACAAAGGAAATGAAAAACATTTACTGAATGACGGAATTCCGCTATTATACTTATGCAATACATTCTAAAGAGCGGGCGGTATTTCAGCAGTACCATCAGAATAATGGGAATTAATTTCGATTGTAAGCCTTATCTTAGGGTATAACAACTTCAGTCACTGAGTCGCTTAATCTCTCGATTCTCACCTAGAGGGTCTTGATGCATGAACAAATGTAAATCCAGTACGCGACATCGGGGATAACTACACCGTTATTTCTAATCATTCTCAGTGAACGGTTTCAACACCTATGGGGTGGAATTCGTTGTAGACGTTCAAGCCATAGAAGTCAGTGTCTCTAGGTGACACTAATTACTAAAAGATAGTCTGCACATCATCCGAAAATGTGACATGTGACCTAGGGATGCATTATATCGCCGCCAGTAGCAAACAATTATGTAAAGAGAGCAGTGATCAAACTCACAGAGTCTTAGCACTTAGTTATTTCAAAATCCAGGATTTAAAGGCTGAGAACAAAGCTAGACACGCCTAAATGTCATAAATCCAACCTTTGGTAATCTGTCATTACCGGGACTCTCTGAACATAATCCAAGTTGGTGTATTCTGCCCTATCTTTGGCTTCATGACAAACATTGTATTCGTTTTATCTCCACCATAACTCACATAACTACCCATGTACACGAGTTTCTCGAGTCACTCACGCGATTGCCCAAATAAGTTCTGTCTAACAGATCGAAGACATCTCTAGTATTGTCGGCCCGAAATGTGTTTACCTAGAAGCTGTTCACAGGTGTTGAACACGTGATCGGTGCATCCATCGCCCCGACAGAATTGAACAGCCTTTCACGAATTAGTTTCTCGAACGTTTTGTAGCCGATTAAATAAGGCAGCAGTCACAATTTTCTATCTAGTTGCTAACAGACTAGCATTTCAGTAATTGTCACATTGCATAGGATTCTTTTAAAGAGACAGATACAATGCAGACCTCTTACTACATTGATTTGCCCGACCGAAAGCTGCTACCTTGACGTGGTGGTCGGACTTGAACACCGCAATGACCTAATCAAGCTATACTGGCTGAGACTTATGGCTCTTGAGGTCCTACCATGCCAGAAAGGTTGTTTGGATAGCGGTTAAACAAAAAGCAGCTACCCAATCCAACATAATGATACACAAAACCACAAAGTTTCATGTCGGATCGGCCGTGGCCCGGATTAACAACGACCGCGCTTCCTGCTGCCGTGTCACAGGGCAGGAGTGATAAATATGCTACTGAGACACACAAAACAATAACGAACAAACAAAAGCAGGCCGCGTGTGACCGGCCTCAAGCAGTTGTCCCTGGGCTCTGCAGTCACGCAACCAACTTCCACGGTGTGGGCAGCCGGGAAGTAACAATCGCCCTCACAATCCGAAATGCACACAAAACCTCTCTAATACTCAGTCATCTTTCTCGTCATCTTCATCTCTATCATCTTGCCTTGCTTCCACTGATGCAACTCCTCTGCTTGATAGCTCTTCACTTCCTCTCCACTCTGCGTTCACTAAAAACGATGGAAGCCAAAAAACCACCACCGACAGCCTCTTAAAGCCACGTCACCAATTTCATATAGGAGCACTTAATGTTAGGACACTTTGCCAAATAGGACAACAATCATCACTAACCAAGACCCTGGCATCCCGAGCCATTGATGTATGTTGTGTTTCAGAAACACGCATACAAGACCCAATTGTGGTTATTCACCTAACCCCAGCTGGCCAACAGGTTGAATCTGCGAAATTCACCTTGAGGGTGTCAGGAGATGCCACAGCTAGTTCTCGAGGATTAGCTGGTGTAGGGATAGCTTTGAGTACTAGTGCAGAAAAGACATTGCTTGACTGGATCCCGGTAGATAGCGGAATGTGTGCGGTCCGTCTGAACGGATCAGTAAAAAGGAGAAAGGACTGTACTACTCGCCGATGCCTTTTCGTAATCTCCGCCTACGCCCCCACTGACTGCATTTCGGATGAAACAAAGGATGAGCTCTACCAAAAGTTGTCTAGTTTTCTGCGAAAGGCTAAACGCTCAGATATAGTCGTTCTAGCTCGAATCGATCACATTGTCATCAATTACCGATAAAACGGTTCAGAAAAGCACTACTTTGGGATATTGACCCCTTGTTAATCAACACTGACGCTTTTACGTTTCTTATGTAACTGGTCTTTAGTACTAGTGGATGGGAAAAATACATCCTGTGAGCCATCGAGGATAATGAAAATAGTCTATGTAATTGTTGTGGGAATTATTCGACAGTATGTAGTAAAGATATGAAGAAAGAGACAGTGATTAGTCGCAGCAGATAACTGTTAAAATTAGTTAGACTGTTGCTGTAGAAAACCAAAAGTCAAGGGGTTAATTGATTTATAACCAGAAAAACAAATTAGTAGTTCACTTACAAAGTAATAGGGAGAATGAGTGGGGACTCTGATGAACAGTTCACCTGACCTCCATACGAGTTTGATTTCTCAACTAGTCAGTTATACCCCGGGATGGATGATTTACATGAAGAAAGTTTTGAGCTTAAGTGAGGGTGGATACTGAGGCATGATGGGTTATCCCAATTGTTATTTATTGATGACGATTAGCTCATGACTATCAGCTAAGCTGACTGAGACTGTTTGAAGCGTTAAATATGATTCTTTTTGGTTACTTTTAATCACTGATGACGGTATCAATTTCCAAGGGAGGATTAAAAGCGTCGTATGGTTTACACACAGGAATTATTCCACCAACATGGTTTATAAAAACCTGCGGTCCATAATCAGATGTTGCCTAACTGAAGGGTAGGTAACGTCAAATCCTGGGAAAACGAACTTGAAAGAACTGAATTATTTTTAGAGGAAATTATATGATTTATTTTTTTCTCTTTTTTGTAGTGCACTGCCTAACCGGACTGGTTTATTATTCCTTTAAACAATAGTTGATAAAATCCACCCAACAAGTGCTTATATCAACTACTTTTTGTGAAATATGGCAACTGCAATTATTCGGTTAGTAACCGAATGTGTCTGATTTAATATTTATAGAACAGTCTCAAAGATAGGCTTAGTTGCAGGCTTTGGCTATCTGTCAGTTGCTGAAGGTATATGGGGTACAGCAGACAGAAACGTAAACACTATTGTTAAAGTCAAAGAAGTGGTACCACGTTTATTTTATTTTGTCAATCAAGTACGTTAACCTAGTGTACGTTGATAATCTTTTCAAGTTTCCAGATGATATACGGGGAACATGGAATGAAAGTAAGTTGTATTCTCAGGTGGCTTATATGTATGTATTTTTCTTTAGATGTGAAGAGTTTCTTCGCCTGGGCGAACAGTAGTCATTGTAGTAATTGCAACTTGAAAAAATATTTCAGTTCTTTTGGACTGTTTGGGAAAAAGTCCTAATTTGTTTATTTATTTTTTTTTATTAGTACATTTGTAGCGAAAATAAATATTTGAATTAGTTTTCCGTCTTGTTCTTTCTAGTTTCATTTTTAATCTGTAATAATAATGCTGATTGGTAATTTATTTTCTAGAATGTGTAATTCCAACATACTACAATTTCTTCTGCTTTGCGGAAAACTGAAAGTAAGAAATCTAAAAAAGTTTTTTGAGGTGATTATTGTTAACATTACCGTGTGTACCTACCTCTGTAACTCCATCCTGTTGTTTCGTCTAGTGTGTAATATAAGTAAGAGCACGTTTATTCGAAGCAGGTGATATATGACCTGACTTCACGATTATGCACCTAAGAATATTAGAGGTTGATAGTCATTGTTTAAAGCTTTCGAATAACAAATTAGTAGAGTTTTGTGTCAAATGCATTTCATTTTGTGTATAGACTAATTGTAAACGTATTAAAGAGTTGTGTTAACACGAAATGTGACTTATTGGGCATTTGAGGACTGGAATTTCAGTCAACGTGTTCTAGGCCAATCGTTCTCCCACCTACTCTTGGTTGGGTAGCTGACTAGTTTCATCAGCCCACGAAGTAGGGCGGAGGTTCCGGAGATTGTATTCTTTAAAAGCTTCATACAATACTTCCCATTGAGCAGCTTGAAAATAAAGCAACGGTAGCAAATACGGTGAAATAATATGAGCTCATTTTTATTATTATTTCACGGATTCTCTGCAATCGCTTACAACTTAAACTATACCAGAATATATATATATATATATATATATATATATATACGCTATAAAAATGTCTAGATATACTTCTGTCATGTTGACAAAGTGTTAGCGATAGGAAGTATAGGTGACCTAAATATGGAGTGTTCTAAACGGTTAAATTTTTGTTATTACTAAGTGCAGATATAAAATGATTAAGATAATTGTTTGACTGAAGTACTCGACATCTTAAGAATGACACACTACTGAAAAACGTTTACATTGTAGCGGATGTATTTATTTATTTTCCACTAATTTACAGCTTCCGAAAATATTTACTGATTTTTATTTAGTTGAACTTCTTGTATATCCTAGTTTATTGTAGTTTCATTGCTTTGTTGAATTCTGCTAATTTGAATCGATCAACATGTGTGCATATATTCGCGTTGTGAATTGATTCATTCAGAAACCCAGGTGTATTATCAATTCTGCATTCCAGAGTAGTCGAACACTTATAGTTTGCAGTGATCACTTCTGTATCTAAATTCTTTTCTGTATAGCGAAAATATTAGTTCAGACATCTAGAAAAAACAAAAAATATTTGAGCAAAGAATATCCTTTTCGATAATTTCCTCTTATGGCTCCACAATTATATGTATGTTTGTATACATCGAATATTCTAGAATAGTCGTCATTAACAATATTGGTGTTTTTTCAAATAATATCGATTTCACGAGGGATTTCACCATGAGCTGACATCAGTTAGAGAACCACTGGAAAACCTGGGGGTACTGGACAGCTGTTTCGTCCTAGTGCGGGACTCTTCAGCAATACGTACCCACCACGCTTCGAACTCAGGACCTCCTGATTACAAGATGAGCTCGTAGACCATTAAGCCACTGGGACCCGATCCAATGGTCCTTGAATTCTAACTTCTGCCAATTCACGACATAGCGCGACCACTTCGCAGTGTCTTCTTCGATGAGTTACTGCCTCATCTTCAACCTGCTGTACCCTACTGGTCATGGCTTCCCACTAGAACCCCAGGTTAACTGCCTAAGTAGGGCCAGTCACTAGTGAGCACATCAGATTAATTTTCAAGTATTGGTTTTGTAGGGATTTTGTTTGATTTGTTAAGTAAGATCAGTAGAATTACAGTTCACTAAAGATGCATAAATTATAATAAGCATACAAATACAATAGCCAACAGAATATCAAATAAAATTAAGGAAATTTCCCTCTAAAAATTGAAGATCATTAGAACCTTGGTGGCCAAGGTAAGGAAAGTGTCTGGACCAGCCCCTTTTGGACACATAACGTAGGTTTGTTAATGTGGATCCCATCGGCCTCAGCAATATGTAGTAGACGATTGTCAGTATGCGGCAGGTGACCTTGAAAACCTCTTCAACATCAATCTTGTGTTCTGTATCCACAAGATAGGATAGAATAGAGCTATGAGTGGGTTTTGTTTGTCCTTTATTTAACTATGCAAGGTGATGTTCGGAAATCCTACGAGAAACACGTCTAATTGTACGGCCTATTTAACTGGCTTCACAGGAGCAGTTAAATTGGTAGATACACATAGAGAAGGCGAAATTAGGCAGTTTATCTCTGTATTTTAGAAGTTCGCTTAGTTGATTTTTTTTATGGCTAAGTAACTTATTACTACTTACTACGTGGGTTCCTTCTTAGACCTTCGTTTGTTTGTTTGACGCTGACTGACTAAACAGCATAAAAGTTGCTGGTTCATCCTGTCGGGTAAGTTGCCTATTAAAATCAAACGCACAAATCTCCATCCCACTACCTCAGGACAATAATTAAGTAGGAGAATATCAAATAAAAGTGAAACTCCTGACGTAGAAAAAGGAACAAGACTAAATGAATATGGTCTTGGAGTAAAAAGCCTTACTGACGATGAGAAGAATGTCTACACACAGTCTCTGTCCAAGTGGGTATGAATTAACTGTCGATTAGATAACAGCCTTCATGTTTAAGCCTTATTTCATGAGTTTGCAATCGGTGTGTCACTGTTTGAAACTATCACTGGTTGAAGTAGACGACTGTTGTAGATGACTGTTGCCCGAGTATAACTGGACAGTCTTCACCTCGTAGTCAGAAAATGACACCTCCCTTGCTAATGGTCCAAAGATGTCCACGTAGTATTCATCTGAAGCGAAAAATCTTCCAGGATTCTTAACTTGATGAATGTTAACAGCAACAACAACACCGAGTTGTATTAATGTAGTAGAGTTATATCATTTCGCCACCTAGGTAATATTGGGTGTACACTGAATTTACTTTATTTCAACTGGAGGCCGAAGCTGGTTAAATAGTTTGGATGTTATCTGTTTTCTAGTTGTCAGATGTAATGGCGTTACTATTCGTGATTTTGATCGTATAATCTGACAATAGTGTTAGCGTGATGTTTTCGACTCGATCTTCATGGATTGTGTTTGACGTGTACTGTTGTTTAGGTTTTAGGTTTACTTCGGCTATCTCCTACGGGAGGATGAGCCGGCTTCATGAACGTCTCGAATCATCGCTGCCCAGGGCGCGGCAATTTGTAAGAGAGTTCATGAAGTTTCATGGGAATTTGGTACGAGTGATGTCCCCAGAATCGCTCGGCATTTTGTTTGAGAGTGCAGCTCTAGCCTTTACACAGCCAAGTGTGACCTACAAGGCAGTAGGAGTGGAGTAAGGAGTCCACTATCCATTGGCAGCCGGTGACCCGAGTTCGGTTCATACGCCTTTTTGAATGGGGCCAGACATCCAGGACATCCAACAAGCCCTTTGTCCATACGTCTGCCGGTGAACTCCGGTGAGCTTCATACGCCAGTCGTTGGAGGTTTGGAATCAGGGTTTAGCCATCTCCCCTAGACCGTCATCCAATGGACAGTCAATCCGGGCATCCGCTGTTGTTTAACTGATACTCTTTGAAATTTCAATTCCCTGACTGTTTCAAACATTCAACTGTCTATTATGGGGATTATGGCGTCCTAGATGAGAAATTTTCTTTGGATCTGAGATGCCTGGAATGAAACAATGCGTAACATAATTAGGGGATTGATCACATTGACTGGTGGTCGGGTCAGTGCATGCCCATTTTTGTACACTTCTCAGTGTACCCCTCATGATGATCTGGTCCATTGCGAATGAGAAAATGGTCAGTGATGGTAGACATCCTTGTTTTACTCCTGTCTTCACTTCAAACGCTTCGGATGTAATTGCGTTATCTTATGATTACTCAGTAGTCACAAGTAAATGTGACCGTGTGGAAAGTATGACTTATTTTAGATTCTAGATAGATTGGTTGTTCTAGGATCCTGGGAAGACATGTGTCTAGGCATCTACGGTGAAACGTCGTATATATATATATATCCTTAACGTGAACTTTGAACTGAGTACCCAGATGCCTTTTAAACGGTTACTAAAGTTTTTTTCAGTTGATTTTGTCAGACTTACCTGTGGGTGAAATACTGACAACTACTTTCAGTGATTGCTGCATTGTCTGTTGATATCGTTAGTGCTTATTTCGTTTCTTCAGGTTTTCTTGCTGACTGCAGGTCATAGTTATTGGGCAAATTGTTAGTTGCTCTTAGTGTACGTTTCTGGAACTTCTAAGTGTTTTCTGAGCCTCAGTGAACGGCTTTTTATTTATTAATTGGCTAGGTATAACCTAAAAATATCTTCCGACTTTGCTTATATTCAAACTGATAACATTCATGCTTCGAGTGCCTTGTGAGTAATCTGCTGCAGCTGAAGTTAGTCTCTGTTCACAGCTTAAGCAGGTGGGTTAAACACGTCGTTGAATAATCTCTGTTTATTTGTATGCTCATTGTCTGCCGGATCACTTTTCTCTTTAGCTTCAAATAAATCGATAAGCCATAGTTGCACATTCGATCTCTGACGAAATCTCAGCACGAATACAAGGGGCTCGTTTTGCATTTGTTAGTTTACGCCGACTCTGGCGTAGACGAGATGTTCGACTATCGACCAAAGGGCGGGTGTACTGCTCATCAGTCCGCTCCGTCCTCCTTTATGGTTGTGAGACCTGGTCACTGAGAGTGGAAGACATGAAAAGACTAGCTGTCTTTGATCATAGGTGCCTGCGTTCTATTTCCCGTGTAAAGTGGCATAATAAGGTGAGTAACACGGAGGTTAGGCGTATAGTTCTATCTAGATAAACAGGGGAAATCAATCGACGAAGTTGTGAAGCTACAAAGACTGAGATGGTTAGGACATGTGTTACGTATGCCAAGCCATCGCCTCCCTCGACGAGCAATGTTAGCGGATATATGCTCAGGCTGGAAAAAAGCTAACGGAAGTCAAACAAAAACATGGCACCAGTCAATCAAATCTACAACAGTTAGTCTAAGCCAGCCACGTAGGAAGGTGTAGACTTCCTGACTGGTTGGGGTCCTCGGGACGGTAAAAACAAACGGTTGGAAACAATTGGTGGCATGGTTCAAAATCGTTCTCAGTGGCGCAGATACATCCACTCCTTGTGATTTATGATTTCCAATGAAACTGTTTTGTTCTTCGTTACTACTATTCTTTTGTCTCACACCTCTGCTCACTGTTTCTATTATGCTTTTCTTGTACTTTCTTATCTTGCTTTGTGTGTTACATGGAGTGTGGCGACTTGAACTTCCGCACATTTGTGCAAAGTTGTATGTCGAAAACAGACAGACAGACAGTTGCACATTGGAAATACAGTCCTCGGATGTAATCTGTTAGAAACAGCCGGGAAGTTCACGTATCCTACTAGTTGTGACTGATAAAGTTTCTAGTCGTACATTTGAAGTGAGGGTGACAGACGTTATCTGTGACCACTTCTGGAGCACTAGCGTCGTTACTCAGGCACACATAGGTTAGGTTTTACAATGTTCCCGTGAGCTCAGTCTCACTCTATTCTTTTGAAACTTGAGCTGTCATCTCTGTTTCTTCAGAGTTGCGCTCACATTCGGCACCATCACTGTTTGAATAATCAGGTTGAACATTTTTGAAGATTGTCTCTTGACTGGTGATATTATCTTGAGGTAGTGATTTCACTGATTGAGACATGACCTAGGACATCAGCCCAGTTGTTCCCAAACGGTTTACTGTTCTCTAACCATTTGATTGAAAGAGAAAAAGTATGAGACGTGGTCATCTTATGACCATCCGAATTTAAGTAAAGCATTCGGATCACTTGTGAAATCATAGTATAATTCTATATAGAAAATATGTTATTATAACATCAGTGGTAGCTCGAATGTGGCAAATGAAAGTGTAATATTTCACACGATGTAGCTTAACTCTAAAAAGTCGTTTGTGTGTGTGTGTGTCGTGACAATAACTAGATGATTCTTTCCTGCGTGATTTTATCATTTTATTGATTGACTACATTTAGGTCAGATTGATTCGACAAAACATTCGATTAATAGACGCTTTCAACGAACATTCACTTTGGTTAGACTTTGGTCATCACCTATTGAAATTAATCATGAAGTTTTTTTTATCTATCTGTTTTATGTGAACACTTGATTTGGTCAAGAATCTTAAGTTCTTTCAGCGTTCACGAATGTGACCATAGTGTCTAAAACCCTGTTAGTTGTGGTGCTGTTCGTTTCGATAGATAATTCAACCTTAATAATTTACTTTCTGCTCATGTCTACTGGTGATGATAGCCCTTCTACTGCCGCTTTAAATAAAGCTAGGTGTTTAGACAACTGGTAGGCAGTAAAGTTGATTTTCAGCTAAGAAGACGAGAATATTGTGCTTGAAGATGGTTTGAAGCCATTGTTTAATAAAACTGTATTTTAGTCGTTACTTGTAATAGGAAGCCTAGCAGTAAACAACTTGTTATCCTCATTACTCTTTTTTGTGGATCGAGGTCTCAGGCTTTTTTATTCAAGTCTGATCCAAATATTGATCTATTTTTGATTAAATCGGAGAGTTACGCATATTAGTGATAATCACTAGACCTTTTTTTTTAGCAGTGAGTTATGTATAAATATCTGACCTTGTGTACGATTTTGACATTTTATCGATTTTCAGCTGATCTCACTTCATATCACGTATATTTCGTTGACTGTATTGTACCACTAAATCTACTTTTTTTTATTTTGTACGTGTGTTCCCTTTCCGGGTTGTCATTATACATAATTCTATTATATCTTAGCGAACTGTAAGAACTGGGTGGACACGTTACAATATCAATGCCCCTGAAAGTGTTTCTGATCATATGTACAGGATGGCATTAATGGCTAGTGTAATTCCAAGAAAGGAGCGCGAAAATCTGAACACTGATCGGTAGGTAAATTTAATGTGATGATGGTTAATTTGCGAAGTTCATGTGTGTGTGTGTGTGTTTGCAGTTTATCTTCCATGAGTTTGAAAAAAATTCCCATTTCATATAATTAAGAATAGGTGAGTTAGCAGAGAAACTCTTTTCGTAACTTCACTTCAAAAGCTGTACACACTTTTTTAAGGGGTTTTATATGTGCAATATAGGTTGACAACATAGGCCAAAGTTTATTGTCAATTAATGACAAAGCAAATCAAAGTACATGAATAGTAATCATTCTTAAGAAAACTAAGAATACCCTTACGTAATCAAGGGGGGTGGGTTGACAACTATTTAGTTAAGTGGTGAATAATCGTTTGGAAATAGTTGGATTGACAAGAGTACAAAATATTGAAAATGAGTTGCAAAAACAGAAAAAGGACCACATACAGCTTATAGTGGTAACAAACTTCTCAGATGCACTTCTCTCTAACAGACAGTTTCTGAGAGCAGTTCTGTCCAACGAAAAGAAGGCAACCTTAAATATCAGGAAGCATAGATATGATGTTCCAGTAGCTGACGAGAAGTGAGTACATTGTCACTCCACCCATAGCCTCAACGAAACCCAACCTAGCTTTTGTAAACCATTTCCTCATGTGTTTTTTGCACAGCCTGCATCGTCAACAGGGAGGACTATCATCATCTGCATGCACTAGATCGGCGAAATCCTTCGTTGGTAGTTTTAAGTCAATCCATGAAATGTGTAATTCGATTTACATCAATACATTTATTAATGATTAGAGTAGATAAGATCGAATTTTTCTCATTCTTTTACGTTCCTAATGGAACATAGGGCTTCAGGCTAAAGCTCTGAAGTTTCGGTAGCAGTGTGTTTATTTTTACGGGATGCGGTTGTTAGCCTCATGTCCAACCAATCTTCCCTCTTTATCAGTCTTATTACTGGCTTAGTGAGGTAAACGGGTGCATCAGTCGGGGATCGAAACCCGAACCACTTGCGTGGTTGACGAACATTCTACCTCTGCCTCACAGACGCACAAATAAAGTCGATGCCGTTGGCTGTCCAAACCACATCTACACAGTGGATTTTTAGAAAGCTTTGTATTTCATGTATGGATATTTTGATAAAACGAAAGTAAAGTTTCTTTTTTCACTGATTTGGTTTTCAAAACTATCGGAAGATTCCACATCTTATCAGCTTCTCCACTTGAAGGGATACTATCTTCTGTGTATTTTAGACCAATGGGACTTCTCCCTGGTATTAGGTTAACCCTCAAGACATCGAATTAAACAAGGGTTCGCATTCACCTTGTCATAGACAGATGATTTATGCACAGGGATCCATTCTATTGTAGTTCAGTTTCTTGTTTGAGACAACGGGTATATATGGTCTTCAGCTAATATATTTGCGTATGCTTTCCGTCAAACTTGTTATCCGTTCACTGTTGCTGCTGCAAGGATTTCAGCGTGAAGTGCGTTATATGCTTGTGACATTCAGGAGTTATCATTTCCCTATTGATGGTCACTTTTGTGATGACTGCCGTTCTGTATACACAACGAATAGATTTCTCACTCTTAGGTATGGTGATCGTAAAGTTGTTGAGCTACGACTAATTTATTAAATTAATTAAAAAGAACAACAGATGTTCGAAAAGCTTGAAAGCTTATCTAAAAATAAAGTGCTGACTGTAATACATTTCAAGCTGAAAGTCTATTGGTAGTCTTTTAAGTGAACAAGACATAAATGTGGAGAGAAACTGATTACCCCTCCTAATCAATCAATTTGTAATCTTTTTTTAAAAAAAATTTTGTAGATTAATAAAAATGGCGATTGTACATGATTTAGCCGAATGTATAGTTGGCGATATTACGCCGTATTGTGGGGTATCGAAAGGGGAGAAATTATCAAGAGAAACGGTTAGTGCATGCAATGATATATAAATATACATATATATTAATATGTTAACCTTAGAAACAGTTAAACGCCTTTTGATGCATTTTAATGTGTTACTGTTTAGTGTAACATACATAAACCGGTTTTCAGTATGCGGTCATATTTTCCTAGTCGAATCGCGCCGTTAGGATATTGTTTGCCGGGATGTTAGTCAGCATCTGGCATGGGAATAGGTGTGTGTGTGTGTGGCTTTTGTTGAGCTCATATCCTTGACTTTGACACAGAGCAATGAGGAGGAATGGAGGAGTATCGAGTTTTGATTCTTTCCAAATCTTACCAACAGTTTACAACTAGGATAATGAGGAAAGTAGGCAGTAGAAAATTCATGCTATCATATTTATATGATGTAGTTGACGTTTTTCGGAAAATGACAGTGGTAGTATTGTGGTGAGAGCAGGCTGCTAGCCAATTGGTAGACATTAATCTACGTCAATGTCTAGGTCACTCAAATTGGCCGTGAGAAAATATGAACAAGGCTGATTCAACAACCAATCACAGCAGACTTAAATGTGGGCAAATATGATACCTATATAATGGCTCCACTTTTCGATGGTTACCCGAAACAACCAATCAGAAGCCAGCGTTTGTCTACTTGAATAAGCTATAATAATGGACAGGAAATATATATAATTACGTGTTGATTTCCGTAATGAAACGATCTTTTGCCTAGCCCTTGTCTTCTGTTGTTACACTATGAGCTAGATGTTAAAGTGCACAAATTATAAGATTACTTAAGTCGTTAGGAAATTGTTAATAAACAAACGAAGTGTGGTAGAAAAAGTTTACTGTGTATTTGTTTATTATTATTGTTCCCTTGGGTTCCTAGTGGAACATAGGGCTTCAACTGCACGTCTCCCTCCACTTGCCACTTCTGTCTTCCTTCTGCTGTACTTTCCACCTCCATCCATGCATGTTAGTCCATACTCTTTCAACTCCTCTTCAACTTCACACGATCTCCTCCATATCACCCCTGCACTGACGTCCCACTCACCGCGCGCTTCCCTTTCGGCCTGGTTCCACTCGAGTAATGAATGGCCTGACGCGTACGCGATGTCACCCACCGTCCCGGCCTCCTCAGTGAGTGAGTGTCCAATCCATCACCATCCACTTTCTCCTGCATATTTGTTGTTGTTGTTGGTTGGCGATTGGTTCTTCTTTTGTTTGTTTGTTCCCAGCCATAGTTTCCCATAATTGGTGATTCTTTCCGGCCCCCCGGCCTGGCCATCTGATCTTCAGTATATAGATCCAGTGAAGACAGTTGTTGGTTGATGAAGGTCTTCAACAGGCTGTTGGTGGAAATATTCTTTGTGACACATCCGCCAAGTTTCTCATCCGTATAGAAGAGGTGACTGACTTGACGCTGTTTGTATTGAAAATCCGACCGACGGAATTTTATTGTTGATTGTGGCTGAGTGACGAAGATTTCCAGATTGGTTTCAAGTAGATGAGCAACGTGTTTCTCGCTCGCCTTCCCGATTCTCGCCCTATTTGACATCCTCGCCCTTTCGGATTGCCTGTAGTTGAGACAGTGCTCCCTCCCTAGATAAGTGAATGAATGAAGTGACCTCTTTCAAATGCCTCCCGTTGATGGTGATTGGCTGTTGGCTGTATGTTGCTTCTGTTGTTGTTGTTGTTAGTTGGTTGGTTGGTTGGTTATGTTCATAACCTCCGTCTTGTTCACCTATGTTCACTTGGTGGGGTCCTTTCTTCGCCGGCTGCTTCTTCGACCAGTTTGTCGGTCGGTTTTCGTTTGTAAGTCTTCGATTTTGTGTGTGTGACATCAGACATAAATCATCCACGCGCGAAATCCAGGTCTTTTAGGTTCTTCACGTTGGTCGGTCCAGGATATCCCTCCCTGTCTTCTCGTTTCCCACTGACTGTCTGACGCATAATCCAGTCAGTCCACCACAATTAGGAACATCATTGGTGGATGATAATAAGCAATCACCCTTGTCTGACTCCTGTGTTGACTCCAAACGCCTCGCTGAGTTCCCTGTTGTGGATGACTTGAAATGTGCCGCCGTTGTCGTACAGCTGTTGAATAAGGTTGATGAATATTTGGGCGCTGCACGCCGTAGTACTTGAGTAGTTTCCAAATAAGTTCGCGGTCAACACTGCACTGTCGAAGGCCTTCTCAAAGTCTATAAAGTTGAGGTAGCTGTGGTTTGATTTCCATTCCATGCTTTGTTCTGTGATGATGATTCGTAGAGTTGCGATTTGGTCAGAAGATGATTTGTCTGACTTTCCTGAATGCAGCCAGCTTGTTCTAGTTGGAGTTCTGTCTCCAGTGCGTCCTTTATTCTCTCCAGGATGATTCGACTCAGGATTTTACTTGGCGTCGACAGGAGCATGATTCCTCGCCAGTTCTTGCAGAGTGAGACGTAAGTCTCCCTTCTTTAGTAGTTTCATGAGGTGACCTTTCTTACAGTCAGTAGGCACCTTTCCCTCCTTCTAAACCGCATATTTGCTGTGATCTCTGGGTCCGCTTTCAGCGCTTCAGGGGGTATTACATCTGGTCCAGCTGCTTTTCCAGCTTTCAGAAGCTTGACTGCATTCAAGACTTCAGCTTTCGTTGGAGGATTGGTGTCAACTTGCAGTTGTGTACGCGCTGTGCTTCGGTGGCACAGTGGTTAGGACTCTCGCCGACCACGCACATGGTTCGAGGTTCGATCCCCTGCCGACGCACACCTGATATCTATGGTCGGCCTGCAAAATTTGGGCTACCGATATCTATGCTGAAAATTCCACACTTGTACCAAAAATACGGTGTGGAATCAAGCTGTAATCAAAAATAAAAAATAAAATAAAATAAATAAATATTTCTGGATGGGTTGCAGTTGGTGGTCCGTTCAAGAGTCCTTATTTTTGTATTTTTAATGTATTTATGCGTTGATGTTTCTGTAGCAATTTGTTTAAGTGTTGGGTATAGGGTTATTAGTACCACACCCCAACTCTCCCTATTTATCCGGCTAGAAAACTAGCGGGCTAGTAATCTAGGCGAGCTTTTACTGTGACTTCATCTCATTTAGTTAGGCATGAAGTATAACGTATAATAGATGACGATGATGATGTAAAAATAAATAACACCGATAAATGTCATTATTGTTGTCTTTAGTTCCTAGAGGAACATAGGGCTTCAGCCGTACATTTCCATTTCGTTCGGCTCTCCGCCAACGTTTTCACTTGGCTCGACGTCTGTCTGTCCACATGCTTTCATCTCCTCTTCGCATGACCTCCATGTCACTCTCACACTGTCGCCGCTTCTCCTTCGTGTTCCACTCGAGAACCTACCGTGTGATGTCGCTCACTTGATGGTTTTCTCAGAGTATAGTCAATCCACCTCCATTTCTTCCTGCTTATTTGCTGCACAATTGGTTTATGGTTGGTTAGCTCATTGCCAGATCCCTGTCGCTGATCTTTTCTGGCCGGCCATCTAATCTTAAGTATTGAACGAAGACAGCTGCTGATGAAAGTGTGTAGTTTGTTCAAAGTGCTTTTCATGACCCATCAAGTCTCTGATCCGTATAGTAGCACTTACTTCATATTGGAGGTGAAAATCGAGATGTTATTTTCATTTTCATGCTGAGTGCTGTTGACGTCCACACAGACTTGAGAGAAATGAAAGCTTGTCTTGCTTTCCCGACCGTTGCTTTGATATCCTAGTTAGTTCCATCCGCCTGTAGTTGACACGATGCTTCCCAGATCGGTAGGTGGGTAGGTAAAGGCGGTTGCTTTCAAATTTCTCCCAATTGTGTTATCTGTCGGTGTTGGTGTTGGCCAGGAATCTTCATCAATTTCCTCTGTTTTCTCTATGTTAAGTTAAATGGTCAACATATACATTTTTAAAATGATATACAAATAATTCGAGGTAAAAAAAGACCAAGTTAACAAGGTGGGGAGAGGCCACATGCTACAGCTGCTTGTTTTAATTCTTAAATTAAGCATTAGTTATTTAGTCGAAGTGCATTTGTCTTCAGCTTTCTCGTCTGCTTATTCTGTTCTGTGTGAAATAGATCCAGTAAAACTGTACCGTTCAAAGTTGTACTGCGGCCTAGTCAATAGGACTTCTCAGTAGGTGTTCAAGAAACCTGAGATTGAGCCCATCTTTCTCCAAATGTATCTGCTTCATCATTTTTGCGTAAAGAGAGAGATATGCGGATCACTGTATTTATAATTGCAGCAATAGGTTTTGTTGTTTTATAAGTGAAGGTAAGTACGGTGAAATTGTATGACCGCCTACTTTGATTACGCAAGCTGTAAACTGTTAGGAAGAGGCAAAACACATGCAATTGTCAAGTTATTATCATGTCGTTGACATGCATTTGTTTCTGCTTTCTGATTGGACGCTTGCACAATTCCAAACTCTCAACCGGATTGGTTGATTTCCAGTCTACCTTATTTTTGTATAAATACAGTCACTTTTGTCATATATAAATGATCCTGGTTTTACCGCTAATTATCGCGTGTTCTGCTTTATCAGTTAAGTGGACTCTGGTCAGTAGTTAAGCAGTTACCTCGAGACAAAGATCTAGCATCATAACATAAACAGTAGTGAGGTTAAGGATAAAATGAAATGAATCTTTTTAATTCTTCTGCATCTGTTGTTATTGATCTGAACATAGTATGCAGAATAAAGTGAGCAATTCCAGAATGACATTTGAATGCGCCTGTAGGAAGATCAGTAGATTTAAGCAAAGTAGAGTAATTCATTTAACGTTAGTGGGTGCATAGTGGAATGAAAGGCTTACTGGTGGTCTGTCATGACTTAATACAATTTTTTTTCTAACTGGTCATAACCTTTGACATATAAGAATAAAACTTGTGCACCGTGGAAGAGTGTAATTCCATTATGGGTAAATTTTGTTTTGATAAAGTCTCACAGTGTTATACAGTAATGTTTACTGATGACGTTTCGAGCACAATTTATCGCCGCTCATAATCATATCAAGGTACTCCTCACATGACTACCTAACTTCACTTATATAGTTCCATTATTTTTCATTTGATTTTCACTTGATTTGATTGGCCGTAGTATTTTTCATATTTTTCAGGTATAAGTGATGAATCATTCCTATTGCATGTGTTTGGTGTAGGCTCGATGAACCTAGCCAGGATTCAGTAATCGACCTCTCTCTCCACCTACCTAGATTACTTTTTAGAACCTTTTACGACAATAATCTTGATGCTTGTCATCATTAAAGGGTGGTCGATCGATGATCAGTCAATTGAAATGCTCTCCTCTCTTCTTAAGTTGACAGAATAGTTCCATTATGAAGTTGCTAAATGCCTTCAATTCAAGTATGATGATATGTCTTAAAGCAGGAATTGGCACAGAACGGTGGAATTCTGATTGATTGAGAGGAGTAGTTGCATACGACTCATAGGAACCAGGCAGTACTTGCCAGCCATCAGACGGCTGCTTCTCTCGTCCAGAGTCAAGCTCACTGAGCTGGGTGCAACCGGGTACACCGACCCTAAACCTGCGAAACAACTGACAGGTGTTAAGATCACCTCGATCTGGCTAGCAAATACTACTGGTTCATATGAGTTGTATCAAGCAGATCATATATTGTGATGGGAGTAGCTTGGTTTCCAAAGGAAGTTACAGTGAAATTCCTCCCACTCGAACTGCGTAAATTGTGAATTTGATCTGAAACAAGTCAAAAATTCATTGTTCCATTCCCTCTTTATACTTATACGCTCTCTGACAGAGAGTTTGTTTGTGCTGAACTCATTCAATCTGTCACTAATATTGTGATGATTAACAGTTGGCATTTTCATGTTGACATAACTTACACAGTTTGGAAAATTGATTGTTGATGTTAGGCTAGGTGAATGTAATGGATAAAACGTCGAAAAAAAGAAATACAAAGGTTCAAACCGCAAAGAAGTGCTTGCGAACCAGGCTGTCTTTGAGTGAGGATTTATTTTTTTCTACATAAATCTGATCACGAAGACTAGTGTTGAGGTTTTTGACAGTTTCAAAGTATTGTGCTCGCAGCTGCATCTTTGAATGTTGATTGTGAACAAAATATGCAAATGACCACTCGTGTTTGATGGTATTTTTCAAGTATTGGTTTTTGTAAGAATTTAGTTTGATTGGTTGGAGGATCTCATCATGAGATGGGAGTAGCGGTCAGCTGTTTCGCCCTAGTTCGACACTCTTCATCAATTCGCACCCACAGGGATTCATACTCAGGACCTTCTGGTTGCAAGGCTAGCGATCTCGTAGACCATTAAGCCACTGGGACCCGACCTGACCCAATGACCAGATCACGAGTTCTAACTTCTGCCAATTCACGACATAGCACGACCACTTCGCAATGTCTTCTTCGATGAGTTACTGCTGGTCACGACGTCCCACTAGAAACCAGGAGTTCCTGGGTCCGAATCCCGCAGTATGGGTGCGTACTGATGAAGAGTCTCAAACTGCTAGACTGACGGAACAGCTGCCCAGTACTCCCAGATGGTTTTCCAATGGTTCTCTAACCGATGTCATCTCATGATGAAACCCTCCAACCAATTTTACTGGTATTTGTCTGTCCAGTTAGTTTACTTTTTCTTTTTTGATTGGGGATGTGAGATCTCAGCGTAGTGTAGTAGCTATTCTTTATGACACTGTAATAATGATAATATTTTATTCTCCTACAGGATGCTATGAAGCATTTGTGTTCGCTTATCTCAGAGGAGAACGGTACAGAAATTTTGAATCTATGGAAGGTAAGATTATTTACTGTGCATAAACCATGCCTATACTACAATTTATTTCCAATTTTTAGGAGTACTCTGAACAGAAGACGCCTGAAGCTATTATTTGCAAAGATTTTGACAAGTATGTACAATTCCATAAATATTATGCAAACAAAACTGTTCGTATACGCACAGATTTGAAATGCTGTTACAAGCCTATGAATATGAAAGTGAGACATGTGAACCAGGAAAATTGGAATCATTTTTTGAGAATACTCTAGGTAGGCTTTACTTCTTCTTCTTCTGTCTTTACTTGGGAATTCAACTAATTTGCATTTATTCTAGGTACATTCAAGACACATTTAGGCCAAAAATGGGTAGAAGAACTTTGTGCATTACGTCGGGATTTATTTGTTCGCAAAGATACAGCTGGTGATGACAAGAGCTAAATAGCCAGAATCTCGAGATTGTATATATATGTATACATAAATATATCAACTTTTCTTAATTGTATTTTTGTTTATCACATCGCATTTGAAATGAACGTATCTTTATTTATGCACTGTTTAAGTACTTTCTTCACTGTGTTTGCAAAAGTTCAGTAGTATTCCACGGAAAGTATTTCTTCAAGCAGGTGGCTCTGTGAACAGTCGCTAGATAAAATTCGGCGTGATATCTATACTAGTGAAGTAAGTTGTTCTTGATAAACGTATTGCTCCAGAAGTAAATATTAAGTAGGTCTAATTGACATTAACAACAGTAATGCGCGATAGAAATTAAATAGGGAGTGAGGGGAGCAAAAAATTTTTATTACTATTCCCATGGGTTCCTAGTGGAACATAGGGCTTCAACTGCACGTCTCCCTCCACTTGCCACTTCTGTCTTCCTTCTGCTGTACTTTCCACCTCCATCCATGCATGTTAGTCCATACTCTTTCAACTCCTCTTCAACTTCACACGATCTCCTCCATATCACCCCTGCACTGACGTCCCACTCACCGCGCGCTTCCCTTTCGGCCTGGTTCCACTCGAGTAATGAATGGCCTGACGCGTACGCGATGTCACCCACCGTCCCGGCCTCCTCAGTGAGTGAGTGTCCAATCCATCACCATCCACTTTCTCCTGCATATTTGTTGTTGTTGTTGGTTGGCGATTGGTTCTTCTTTTGTTTGTTTGTTCCCAGCCATAGTTTCCCATAATTGGTGATTCTTTCCGGCCCCCCGGCCTGGCCATCTGATCTTCAGTATATAGATCCAGTGAAGACAGTTGTTGGTTGATGAAGGTCTTCAACAGGCTGTTGGTGGAAATATTCTTTGTGACACATCCGCCAAGTTTCTCATCCGTATAGAAGAGGTGACTGACTTGACGCTGTTTGTATTGAAAATCCGACCGACGGAATTTTATTGTTGATTGTGGCTGAGTGACGAAGATTTCCAGATTGGTTTCAAGTAGATGAGCAACGTGTTTCTCGCTCGCCTTCCCGATTCTCGCCCTATTTGACATCCTCGCCCTTTCGGATTGCCTGTAGTTGAGACAGTGCTCTCTCCCTAGATAAGTGAATGAATGAAGTGACCTCTTTCAAATGCCTCCCGTTGATGGTGATTGGCTGTTGGCTGTATGTTGCTTCTGTTGTTGTTGTTGTTAGTTGGTTGGTTGGTTGGTTATGTTCATAACCTCCGTCTTGTTCACCTATGTTCACTTGGTGGGGTCCTTTCTTCGCCGGCTGCTTCTTCGACCAGTTTGTCGGTCGGTTTTCGTTTGTAAGTCTTCGATTTTGTGTGTGTGACATCAGACATAAATCATCCACGCGCGAAATCCAGGTCTTTTAGGTTCTTCACGTTGGTCGGTCCAGGATATCCCTCCCTGTCTTCTCGTTTCCCACTGACTGTCTGACGCATAATCCAGTCAGTTCACCACAATATGATTATTACAAAACAAATTAAGCATTCTGTTCTGTTAAGCGATCAGGCTATCAGATGTTCAAGGGCTGGACAAAATACTTTTTTTCAGTTATCGCGTGAAATGCCATTGGTTCTCTGGCGTGAAGAATTTGCGTTTGATTACTTGGCGTCCATTTTATGTGATGAGAATAGTGTAAGGCGTTGGACTGGTAACTAACTGCAAATCAATAAGAAAAATGGGTTTTTGTATTTCTTTGTTTCATTATTATTATTATTATTATTATTATTATTATTATTATTATCATCAGTGCAAATGTGCTCCTAATTACTTTCTCCCGCACTCTGTAGTAGGTAATGTGAGGAGAAAATGAGTTGCCACTACATGAAATCACGTGCTGAAAAATTCCATATTGTATTGAAAGTAGTTTTTGGAATAAAGCCATTAGTGTTATAATTAATAATGTAACTTTCAATCTTATCATTAATAATTGTAGTCCGATTTATCTGTGGCGTAATCTAAATAAGTCACTTAGAGTATTAGTCAAAAAGCTGGATAAGGGAGTTCGTTATTCAATCACTTGTTACCACTGACCACTGTGGTACATAATTTCATATCAGCTTATTGCAATAACTCACTGAATTGTGAAGTATTCTCTGAATACCAAATGTTTTTTATAACGATTTTACTAAACGAATGTACAGAGAACTTGAAGTTGCGTCTTTTAGTGTCCTTTGGAGTAACGATTGAATTGTGCGTCGGCAGCACAGCGGTAGAATGTCTGCCAACCACGCATGTGGTCCAGGGTTCGAACCCTGGCCGACTCGCCCATTTACCTCGCTGAGTCAGTAATAAGACTGGTAAAGAGGGAAGGTTGGTCATCAGACTAGCAACTCCATCCCGTAAAAATAAATATCATTGCTACCGAGACTTCAGTATTCTAGCTTGAAGCCCTATGTTCCACTGAGGATGTAATTGAATCAAAAAATAACAATAAAAAGTGACTCCCGGCAGTACTCTTGTGAATTAGAGCTGCTTTTAAGAAAGTGAGATAAAGGATGCTGTTAAGTGCAGCATTTAAGTAGTCTAACAGTCCTTCGTTACGCTGATGTAGGCTCCACAAAATTTTCAGTGGATAAGTGTAAAGTAGGTTATGGTAATACTGATAATTGTCACTTATTTACTACAGATTGAATACAATACGAAGGAGTTTAGGAAACGTAGTATATGTAGAGGTCGAACAAGGTCCTTCTGCACATGAAGTGGGGGCTTGAATTTTGGAAGAAGTTTAACACCTGAGTTATTCTACACGTTGGAGATATCATTGAAGGAGAATCAATGTATAGCTGTTTGAGAAGCTGTGTTAGTGACTAACTTGCGCTCCTAGTAATAATAAATAATAATAATTTTTCCCCTCACGTTCCCAGTGGAACATAGGGCTTCAAGCTAGTGGCTTGAAGTTTCTGTAGCAGTGATTATTTTTGCAGGATGAGGTTGCTAGCCTCATGCTCAACCTTTCCTCGTTGCCAGCATTATTTCTGGCTTATTGAGTTAAAGGAGTGCGTCGGTGGCCGGGGATCGAACCCCGGACCATGTGCATTGTTGTCGAGTGTGCTAACCGCTGTGCCACCGACGCACTGCTCCTAGTTATAGGTTCGATAAATGTACACTTTGTGTGGCCGCGTAAAGAAGTAGATCCATATCGAAGTGACGTAAAGTGGCAGTTTGTCCTTTTGAATTCGTGTAATATTCTTCTTCTCTCTTCTGTTTATTTGTTTTTGTGCTTTTTATTTTAGGTGGTATGGTTTTTGTTGCTGATGCAGCAATTTTTTTCCTTTTTCTGTCATTGTTGATTGTTTAACATTCGTTGAATTTTATTTTTCGTCTTTTTGCGGAGAATTTATCATCTGGAATTGTAGCTGAATTGCATATTTTTGTGATTCTCTGTGAGGTGTGTGTTGTGTGTCGTTTTTTTCTTACAGTTAAAATAGATTTAGCCGTGATAACATATTTGAAGTTAGTTGGTGGATGGTGACTAGCAGTGGAATCCAGGATGCGCATTTTTTCCTATTTGGGACTTAAATAATGGATAACATGTTGCTTGAACAAACTTTTGGTTCTGATGATGATAACAACATAAGTGGATAAAGATTGTTATTGAAGTCTTGCGGTGTGATGTGTTTTGGCATCTTCATCGTATATAATATTGATTTAGCATGCGTATATATGTTACATAGGTGTAACCACCGATGATTTGTAGAAACAGGTCATTTACTAGCCTAAGGTTGAAGCAGTATGATAAGTTGAGAAAGCACTACTGGTTTTATTGACACTGCATATTTTTTACCCGTGCAGAATGTTGTTGAATTTCAGTCAAACAATAAAGGTGTATCTCAGACAGGTGTGACTTCAAAAGTACCATCTGCTATGAAGTTAAATCGGAGGGAAAGTTTTTCTGTGATGGAGGTATTTAAAGGAGGGAGAGGTAGTTGATATGTATATATATATATGTGTGTGTGTATGGTGGTCTCTCTTTCTGTTGCTCTCTTAGTCTGTGACCATTTCACTTTGATGAACCTGTCTCCTTAACAATGTATATTCCCCTTATATTATATATAATATGAGTGTTTGTTAACAGTCCGTTGCTTGGTGACATATATCCATATTATATGTGTGGTTGTTGACATGTCTGCTATATTTCGCTATGTATATATGGATCGATACTCCATTATAATTAGCCATTCATGTTAAGACTGTCTAATGATTTGTTCACACCCTTGTCTGGACATTCATATATATATATTTCGTTCTCACAATCTTGTGACTTACTTACCACTTTGGTGTGATACCACTTTTGCATTCTCCTTGTGTTTGGAAAATAGAAGTATCATCGCAAACCTAGTGGTCTTCTGATTTCCGCCTTCTTGCGTCAGGACTATTAAATTCTCGACCAGTACATAGCAATAATTTGGCGACGAGCACATAACAGTAATAAATCTTGCTTTGTGGAGTTTTCATGGTTTCTACTATCCCTACAATGGCCAGTGATGGACATTCAGTGAACTAGACAATAGAAAAAAGTAACCTGTCTTTTATACACTAATTTCAGTTTTTGCACGGTCTGTACGTATTCTACTTGAGGAAAGTTACACGTATTGAAACTATTACGATACTTCGTAGTAGTGTGATGTGCGCTACTGATAACATTTATCAGTAGTATATAAAGAGACGTTCATCGACATTAAAACACCAAATACCAGGGAGAAAGATGTGATGCCAGAGAAAGCGAATGATTCAGCATTGTGGAGAAACATGGGGACACAAAGAAACACAATATGAAGGAAGTCCAGATGTAGCACAACACGGAAGATCTGTGCAAATGGTGCGTTGAAGATAATTTGTACATAAATTTCGCCATATGGAGATACCAAATTCCAAATAAACATTACTGTACCAAGTCTTCCATCTTAGTAGCAGTGGCCTATGACAAAGAAGGAGATCCTTTACAGAATAAGCCATATAATGGCAATTTATGAAACTTAGTTTCCAAAATAACCAATCTGGTATGATTGATCAGTTGGGTGGGTAGAGTGCTGCTTCGTTCACAGCAATTAGAAAAAGCAATAATATAGATAATTACTTTATTCCAACGAATAATTTCTATGCAAGAGGTAATCATCAGCATTCATATATTTTAACAGTTTTTCTTCTTATACAAAATAAAAGATAATTATAACACCACAAAAACTGAAATTTAATGGGTGTTATAACTGTAGGGAATTCAATGAAGAC